TCCCGCGGTCGCATGAGCTCTTCTGACCCCAGCGTCCCATTGGGAGCTCACCTTCAGCTACTTCTCAGCCATGACCCCCAAATCTTTACACATCACTGGCCCCAGTCCTGTAAGCACAGTCTTGGTTCTTTGTTCCTAGATGCATGTGCTTACATTTAGCCACATTAAAACGCACATCTCTTGCTTGCACTCCCTTACCAAGCAATCCCGACTGGGGAGGAGGTCGCAGATCTTATTCTAAGGCTGGGGTAAGAGTTAGCATGGAGGTCAGTAGAATTTTCCCAGGGCAAGGGAGGAGGATACTTATGTTACCCTAATGTTCATAGACTTTAGACTTTAAGGTCAGAAGGGACCATTATGATCATCTAGTCTGGCCCCCTGCACAGAGCAGGCCACAGAATCTCAGCCACCGCTCCTAGAATAATCATCTCACCTATCTCTCAGATATTGAAGCCCTCAAATACTTTGCCACTAGGGAAAACATCACAGGAGTTCGGCTGAACTGAGGTAGGGCAGTTGGGTCACACTATGCTTCAGGTGACACACGCAGACAATAGTGTTACGTGGCGAGTGGGGTAGGCAGGAGGGAAGTCCATTCATGTCAGGGGTTCTGGGGCAAGGCCAGAAGTTAGGTGAACAATGGAATCTCTTTGGGGCTTCGTTCTCCACCAAAGATGCCGCAGTAACAATTTTTCCCATCTCCCACCCATTGCTCTGGGAGCTCTTTGGTGCGAGGCTGTCTCTGGCCGCAGGGGTGCAGCCCTCTTGCACTTGGGCCTCCCAGCTGGCCGTGCCACAGAAATACTAACACCTGGCCCAGAATAGTCCCTGACTCCTGAGATGCGAGTTTGAGACTTGCAATGAAATAACAATGAAACAGCAAAGCGAAAGGCACCCAGGGAAGGTGCTGTGAGCCAGGCACCTGGCCCTTCCCCCTGCAGAACAGGGCACATGAGCCCAACTTCCTGCACTGGACCCAGCCCTGGCTGCAAGGTCAGAGCACCCCCTGCTGGGCTGCTTGCCATCTCCCTGCACTGCAGCGCTCCCTGCTGGGCTGTTTGCCCCACTCCCTGCACTGCAGCGCTCCCTGCTGGGCTGTTTGCCCCACTCCCTGCATTGCAGCGCTCCCTGCTGGGCTACCTCCCCACTCCTGCACTGCAGCGCTCCCTGCTGGGCTGCCTGCCCTACTCCCTGCACTGCAGTGCCCCCGCCTGGGTTACCTGTCTTGCTCCCTCCACTGCGGTGACCTCTGGGCACTGCGGGGGGCAGCCGGAGTCAGCTCAGTGGTGTCTTTGCACTGGCCCCAAGAGCCAATTTCCAAAGAGCCACAAACCCAGACTCTGGTGCCTGGGACAAGGAAACAGAGATTGGAAGGTCAGAGCACACACTGTGCACGTTGATTCTCAAAACCCCGGTAGCTGCTGATGGCCAATGGGAAAGCTCCACTGAGCTCCCAGACATGGGCACTGGGTAGCGGTAGAGGCAGAAGCAGGGAGAGTTGGGGGCTATCATGTGTAGTAACTGAGAATGGTAGCAAATCAACACAACTGCAGAGAAATAACCCATGGCAATGATTAGCCAACCATTACCTTGTGGGCAAGACAAAGGACTGGGTCACCAGAGCTGTGGGTTCCAAGACTGGTTGTGTAGAAGACGTCCTCTTTGCCCTTCTGTACGTCACTACATTGCATTGTGCCTCAGTTTCCCTATTTGGAATACATGGACAATGAGATCCTGTGTCATTCTCAGCTATACAACGTGTCACATTCCCACTGGGACAGTCACTTGTGATGTGCCTGTGTCAGAGCGTGAATACCAATTAAAATGCCGTTCTGGCTCTGGCGTTCCTTACAACAACACCCAGCGCTCAGCTGATGCAAGCCCAGAGTCACTCCTGAGCCTGGCACCCTGCGCAGTGACAGGGCCCAGCCTGGGCACTCGTTAGCAATAACATTTTAATTAATCCCAACGGCCATTGCACCCCATGGGGTGCTGTGTCTGGGCTGGGCATTGCACCTCTACAGAGGTTAATTATCACATCTGTTTTCTGCCCCTGTATCCCGGCTCCCAGGTACGGGGCCCAGCAGGGGAAGGGCAGGAATTAAGAGCAACAAGAGGAATCTCTTTGAGACTTATTAGAGCTGTGGTGCCGGCACAGCAGCAAATGGCTGGATGGGATCATGGCTGGAAACCCCCTCATGTCGGCTGGTCCCTCTCCCCTCCCGCTCTGTGCTGTGTCTGTGGCTTTGTCTAAATTACTCTGTGTCCCATCAACGTGGCTGACCAACGCCGGCCTGTTAGCTGACATGCACGTTAGAGGTGCAAGGTGAGGCCTGTGTCCATTCTAGCTGAAGGAGGACGAGTGGTTGAGTCCAATTAGCTGCAATGCTCTCGCTAGCCGTGCAAGGGGAGGGAAAGGCCAGAGATGCCCAGGGAGACCAAGGCCGATGCAAAGAGGAGGGATGGGGGTGATGCCCCTTCCTGTGTTTGTTGCAAACTCTGACAGGCTGGGTCTGTCTCGCTCTGCGTCTGAGCAGCCCCCCGAGCAACGGTGCCAGGACCTCATGAGAGAGTGTGTGTTGGGGGAGGGCTGTTGCACTGCCCAGAATAACCCAAAATAATTCAATTCTCTACTCGGCGTCTCCGAACTTATTCAGCCCGTCTGGGGGCCTGGTCCCAGGGGTCTCTGGGTATCTCCAAAACGAGGCCAAGTCTCTGTTAATAGGCGACTGGGCTGAGGGCTCCGCCTGGAAGCCTGGTGGGATTCAGGCCTGGTCCCGAGGGGCCCGGAAGGGATTTAAGGCCCAGGCAGAGCTGTGAGGCTACAGGAAGCGGTGGGGAAGCTGTGGGCCGTGCAGCATCGCGGGGAAAGACTCAGGGGCAGACCTAGCCAGCTTGGCAGCGCATTAGGGCTCCCGGGTGGGTCCCAGGCACGGAGAAGGGCCCTTCTCCCAGGTGCTGGGCCGGGCTGCAGAAGGACGCTGGATGGGGCCACAGGAGTCCCGGTCAGGACAGAAGGGAAGAAGCCGCCTCTGCCCATGCAGCCAGTGTAAGGCGCCTGCTTTCGTACCGACCTTCTCGCGCTGCCTCCCCATCTCTGCCTTTCTCTGGCCCTGGCCCTGACACCCCCAGAACCCGTCAGCCTGGTGTGTTCTGTAAAGAACCACCGACCCGCTGTCTAGCCCCCGTCTGTGCAGCACCTACCTGCCTATCCCTGAGCTGT